GGGGGGGGGGGGGGGGTGAAATGAAAGGGGAATCTTAGTGTTCTCGAGCCCTAATTCAATCTCTGAGCACGAAATTTTCCACTTTTCAAGTAACTATTTAAATGTGCATTTGAACATTTTTCGAATATTGGTTTTATTTATCAGTTTGATTGATTTTTTCTCATCACCTAGGGTATCTCCAGAACATATACGGGTCAATTAACTTTTGGGATAGGTTCTTTGAAGCCTTTTCTTCACAATTCCAAAAGTAAACAATTTTCATTAACACTCAACATATCAAATTATGAACTTCAACTGACACCAACGATTGAGCGGTATTGCCTCACGATGTGGGTATTACCGCTCGGGGTGTTCGTAATACCACTCACTCGCTGTCAAATTACTCAGTTACTTCTCACACGAGGTGGTTAACTAAAAAAATGCAGATTGGACACATTTTTATAAATGTATTCATATTGAACACGAATGAGGGACTCACTTATACATTTTATCCTGTCTCTCAGTATACTGAATGGAATACCGTACGTCTCTGAAGCCGTATGAAGCGACGTTCCATCATTTTCAACAGCATGTATAGCTTTTTTCAGATTTTCTTCACTCCATTTCCCCTTTATATTAGACCCCTTCGGGGTCTTGTCCCGTGGCATTCTAGAAAAAAAAAATATCGATAACTTGAGCAACTGATGGGTCCACCTAACCTCTCGACGAATTCGTCGTTTTTATTAATAACATTACACTGATTGCATCGTTCTATTTTCGATTTTCATTTTTTCATCATTTTTCCATATTTATTTTATTATGAACAATAATGAATGCTAAACTTACTTGATCGTTCGCCGATCGGTAACTCGCCCATGCGTCTCAGCTGTCACTCGACGAGCGGTACAACCCACAGAGTGAGTGGTATTAGGAACACTCCCCGAGCGGAATTACCCGCAACTCCCGGGTGTCAAAAAATTATTGATAATTAATTTACCAGGGTCTTTTTCATCATCAACTATGTTCCAGTCGATGGATAAATGTATTATCAGCTGATATTTCATAACTTTTCATTTTTTTATGTATCTGAAAAAGTGAAAAAACTTGAATTCTGGAGTCAAATTCTTCTATCGATTACATTGAAAATCAATGGTATAATTTTTCATCAACTTTCAACGATAACAAGTTAGAAACTTTAATCGAAATTAGATGTTAGTTGTAAATACATCGATTTGAAAAAAGAAAAAAAAATTTTTTCTTAATAAGTCATAAGAAAAATAGGTGAGCGGAGATGCCCGCTGAGCGGTACAGCCTCCGCCTACTCTACGGGTGTCAAATCGCATGAGTTGTGTCAAAAGATCGTATAAACACTTCCCCAAGGAATAGTCGATCTCCACGTTTCAGATGATTCTGAATCATTTAAGAATAATTTTTTGAGACAATTTTTAAATTTTTTTTTAAGGGGAATTTTTATTTTTTTGGAATTTGTTGTAGGAACATAGGTCTCCAGATGAACATTGATAAATAAATGAATCAAAATAAGTAATGGAAAATTTTTTGTTCTCCATTATCTATTACTATGATAATAGAAAATTAATTGTTTCATTATTCATTATGAGAGCAATCAGAATTCTTTATTTTTCATTACCCATTATTATGATGATGAAAAATTAATTTGATTTGATTATTCACGACAGAAATAATTGGGATTTTCTGCTTTTCATTTTCCATTGGTATAATGATGAAATATTAATAATGGAAATTATTTCTTTTGCCGATCTCTGGGACCGAGCTGTTTGCATATTTTTGCTCTAGATGTTCGCATATTACAAACCGAACTATTTCCTTTGGAAATGTAGAACTTTTTTCTAATCAATAATTTCGGCGATCCATGTTTGTGCCAGTTTGTCTAGATATATGAATAATAAATTTGTTTGCAACTGAAAGTTCACAACAAATGCTTTAATGATGTCTCGGAAATCCAATATATTCCGATTGATTGAAGAGTGAACTTGTCAAATTCATCAAGGTTACTCTGAGGATGGGTCATTCCTGCATTCTTGAATTATATTTTGTTACTTCAATTTTGATGTTAGTCCTACTGCAACCGTCGTCATTATTAATGTAGTTTATGACATAATTCATTGTGATACTGGGCTCTAATAAATATAGAACACATGAATACTTTGTTTAATATATTATATTATTAATAATCTTCTTAACGGTGTTCATTTTTAACTCAAGAGAGGTACCTAGTTCATCCTCATGACTGTTCTCAATCGTCCCGCTCACTACTGACATCTGATTGGCTTATTAGGACAAGCGTCGAGGAAGTAGTGAGTAGTGGAAGGGTTGAATAAAACAAGAGGGGAATTGGGTCGTGCGGTGCAAAAAGTACGCGAACTGCTAGGTCCTACTGGAATTGTCAATTTTCTCATACCTACCAAGCGCAAAATTGATTGTTTTTTCTTGGATTTTCAGTCATGATGTGATTCCATAAATCTCATTAATTTTGAACTTCTAACATTTTCTTTTTTTTTTCGAATGGCATCAATTTTCAAAATTGTCGATCACTGAGAAAATTGCATGGTTTCTTAAAAAATGATGAGAAAACGTCTGTTTTTTTTTCATGGGGGAACAATTTAGAAGCATATTTAGTTTTATAAATAATTCTCGGATTTTCTGAATAATTCAGAAAAATAGTTCACTTTTCTAGAGAATCCATTTATAACACTTCCTTTATTTTTCAATAATTACTGGTATCGGTTGGGAAATTATTCGTTAATTTTCTGCTATTCATTCATTTTTATAATGCATTTATGAGTGTAGAAAATTTAATACATTTGAAATTTGAATGAAGAAAAACTTCGGTTTAGTGATACAGAATATAAGAAAAATGATGTCCATAATGTCTCTTTTATTTTTGTCTTTCTTTTCAACTTCAGACCTTGCAATTTCTACTTTCGGTTTTCTACTTAATTAGTTACTTCATTCATCAACTAAATCGTAACGGCGAAATTATATCCATCATGAATTAATGTTATGTCCTTCTGTTGCAGCAATCGAATACGTGGGTCCAAAATACCGTACCCTAGTAGCAAACATGTCCTTCGGCATATACTTCGCGATAGCAGCGAGTGTTCTCCCTTGGTTAGCCTACTGGATAGCCGATTGGAGAGTATTGAGTGTCGTGACAGCAGCACCTCTAGTCGTCGCCTTCCTCGGCCCCTGGATAGCCCCAGAAAGTGCTCGATGGTATCTAATGGCCGGAAAAACTGACAAAGCCATCGAGATGCTGAAGAAATTCGCCAAAGTCAATGGAAAGACTGTGAAACCCGAGATTTACGAAGAATTTGAGAAGAGCTGCAAGGAAATGATCGAGAAGGACAAGAAACTCAATAAGTACACTGTACTGGATCTCTTTACGTTGCCGAGGCTCGCTAGAATCACGGTTGTCCTCGTTATTTACTGGCTGTTAATCATTCTGGTGTTCGATGGCCATGTCTGGAACATGAAACTCCTTCATCCGGATGTCTTCACATCGTTTTCACTCGCTGCACTCACAGAACTCCCTGCTGCCCTCTTGCTGGCATTGTTTCTTGATAAATGGGGACGAAGGTGGATGGGTTTTGCTTCCATGTTTATGTGTGGCGTGTTTTCATGGATTGCTTTGGCCACCCCTGAAGGTACTATTTTTTCGAAAAATGTCCCATTTGAAATCGTAGAATTGCCGTCTCGGTTGAGTTTTCACCGCACAGCTCGTGGATATCTTATAAACTTTAGAATATAACTAGGAGACTTCGCCACCTGCTCACTTCGCTCGCCAACTCCGGGGGGGCTTCCCCCCCCCGCTCGCTTCCCTCGCTCCACCCCCCCTTATAGTCCTCCATATAACCCTCACATGACCCTCATATGATCTCCATATGATCCTCGTGACCCTTATGACTCCCAGTTTCGGACCCTTCATTTCTGACTCTTCGTTTTAGAGTTTTAATTTCGAGTGCCAAATTTTTGACATGGTTTCGTTTTGGGGGATCATTCGGTAAAAAGGTGCTTATGCAGTCACATCATCTATCGGCGATGGTGACTGTCGATACATTGCTAACCGTCGATCAATCAGCAAGATACCGACAGGTTATTAGTCATAGAAATTTCCAGTGCAGAAATTTCTAGATTCAAAATTCCCTATAAAAGGCGGATCGGCACGCTCCGTTGTCAATCGTAAATTGACAATCAAAGAGTTAACATCGTATAAAGTAGAGTGTCAATATCTGGCACAGTAGTAAGGTTAGTGTAAATATTGACGTAGATATGTCTATGGTTTCAATATGGAGGGTCATTTTGGGAAACGGTTCTTATGTGCAGCGCCATCTATCGTAATTCTAGAAAATTCTAGACATTTCAAGGTAATTTGAGAAGTTTCTTGAAATTTTGAAAGAATTCAAGAAGTTTCTAGAAATTTCCAGGAAATTCAGGGAGTTCCTGGAAAATTCGAGGGGATTCAAGGAATTTCTAGAAAATTCGAGAAAATTCAAGTTTTCAGAAAATTCGAGGGAGTGCAAGGAGTTTCTAGGAAATTCTTTCTAGGAAAGATGGAAAGACCATGGACGTATCCACGTACAATTACAGCTTTATTGAAGATACAGCCGCTGGCAATTTTTTTATCACCAGAAGTCGATTTGGAGTCTTATAATACTGAGAGATATAAAGAGTTGGGATGAAAGGTATTTGATCGGGTTCTTATAACAATCTCTACTATGAGACATTCATTTTAGAATATTCCCATTTCGAGGGAGAAACTACATTTATATCAAGAAAGTCAAACTTTATGAAGACAAAATCTCCTGTTTGATACACTTATGAAGGTTGTTTGTTCATTTGATTGCACAAGGAAGAAACGACATTTGTGACCCCTATAGTCACGAAATGTCAAATTTCGTGGAGACGAAATCGACGGTAACAAGAAGTGAATGACATTAGTGGCCCTCAGGGTCACGAAGGTCAAACTTTGTTGAAGCACAATTTCCTGTATAACACGCTTATGAAGGTTGTTTATTTCGATAGCTCCTAAAGGAAACTACGTAACTCATAAAACATTTCCGAACTCAAACATTCCAAGAATATTGTCTGAACCTTCGTACAGAAACCAAGTATCTCACAGAAAATTCAAAAATACGTAACTCAGTAACTCCGATTAAATACCGTCTAATTCGCTCGATGCCTTTATCATTTTTATCTCAATTCCTCGGATAGAGTTCTTACGGATATTTTCACATACTTGTTTGTTTGGGGAATATTTCATACCGGTCGTCAGTTGTCAGAAAACCAAACCTCTTATGGCTTTGCGAATATTCAATTAATTTAGTAGTTGGGAAATGGTTGTCATCTCATTTCTTTTAACATTAATTTTTCATGTAGTTGGGTAATGAAGGGTTGATGAATCATTTTGAAACTACTCATTCATTTTATCTAATTAGTTCTTTCCCACTTTATTCATTAATATCTACGAGAAATTTTCCAATTATTGATATTAGTTTTTCGGCATTAACGTTCTGTATGAGTTGGTAACTAGTGATCAGCTAATCCTGATACCTAAAAGATTGACAGGCCTGATTCATAGAAACCATGAACTATTTCCTCAACCAACAAGAACAACTGCAATAATTTGGGAGCAAAGGCTTGGCAGCTCTGAATTTTATTCATAGGTTACTAACGAAACTAAACGGAGATTAATCAGAGCTTCAGAGTTACGTGTTTCTGAATTTTTACTGAGATACTTGGTTTCTGTCACCTCCTCTGAGATACAAATTTCCAGTCGATACTCGTGAGATACTTGAGTTTAGAACAAAATCTTGAGATACGTGGTTTTGAAAATATTTTCTGAGTTACGTAGTTTTCTTTAGGAGCCATCGATTTGTCACCTCGAGAGTCACGGGAATCATTAGAGTCAAACTTTATGGAGACAAAATCTTTTGTTCGACATTTGTTTGTTCATTGAGTAATTCCGAACACCTTGAAGGCTTTATACTTCCACAATTTGTTTTAATCAATGAACAATGTTCGTAACGCATGTGAAGGAAACATTACTTATTTAAGCCTCAAAATGGAATTGATAGAAAAAACGCGAATATCTTGAAAACTTTTTATGAACGGGTATCCATATTTTGATTGATCTCGATAGTGGACATCGAGATGAGTGTTTTGAAAAAAAAAATTTCAATCCGATTAGTAGTTTAGGAGATATTGAGCAAAACATATTTTCACAAAAAGTTAAATATCTCCTAAACTAGTCGTCCGATTTCACCCCTCCATATTACCAGCCTGTAGTACCATAAGAGTTACAATCGTACCAAATTTCAGCTTTCTATCTCAATTTTTTCGAGCGTTACCGTTTCTACACCGATTTTATGACAAAAATGAAAAATGCCGATTACTACCAATTATTACCACCGTTATTCCTGATTAAGTAAAAATATTATGACTTGATTTGATAGATATTATCATAAGAATTATTTTCACGTCAAAAAAATTCTTAAAACTCAAATTTTGTAAAAAGTCCTTGAATTCCCTCGAAATTTCTAGAAATGTCTCGGTTCCCTCGGATTTTCTAAAAACTCCCTGAATCCCTTCGAAATTTCTAGAAGCTTTTTGCATTCACTTGACTTTCATAGAAACTCCCTGAATTTCCTCGAAAATTTCACTTTGCTCGTTGAAGAATGCGAAAAACTTGAATGTTATAAAATTTTCTTGAAGATGCAAGTATTTGATCGAATTTCTTGGAAAAACCTTCAATTTTCCAAAACACTGCTAAATGTTTCCCGATTTTTTAAAAAACATCGAAATTTTTTAGATTTTTCGAAGAACCTCAGATTTTTCAAGAAATGCTAATTTTACAAGTAAATATGTCATAACAGAAATGGAAATGATTTGCTTCATAATAACTATCGTTGAACATTCTCAAGTTTCCCCGAAAGTTCTAGAAATTTCATACATCATTAGGGAAACTGTGTTTTTCATCTCTGAGGAAAATTCCATCCTGTTATAAAAAAATTGAGAAGCTTCAAGAACGGTGTGGAAATTCCTAGAACTTTCTGCATTTCGCCCCCTTAGGGGTTGATTTTCAAGAAAAGAAAAAACACGTGTCGATTAATTTCGAAAGATGAATCCACACGAATTTTCAAGTCTCTAATTTGAGCGGTTTTCGAAATCGACTAAAAATATTAGCCCCTTTTTCACCATCTTAGGGGATGAATTCCGAAAAACCCTTTCTTAGTGGGTGCTTACGTCACTAACAGAAACTGTAGGTAAAAGCTCATGGTCGTAGCTCTAGTAGTTTGGGCTGTGTGTTGATACCTTAGTCTCGTGAAAACGGGCTTCTGGTTTATATACAGGGTGTTTCAAAACAACTTTTAAACCTCGTAGGGGTAGATGGATAAAGATGAGAAATCCTGGAAAAATATTTTAAAAAATCCCAGTTGACTTGAATTTAAATGATTGAAGATTGAAAGTAGCCAATAGCGTTGATGGGTTATGGCGCTCGAGTATGGGTGGGGATGGAGCAAGGATATGTGGCAACAGTGTGCGGTATTTGTCACTGAGCTTATGCCGTGAACTTAACCGTCTGCATGCACGTCTGTCACCAACCTTTAGGTCGGTTAAGAAGGAATACCATATGCATACAGTGCCATCTACATTTCCCATGAATGAAGTTGGCACGGTCATTGATGATGAATTTGAGTTACTTGAAGCTGCGGGGAGATTAATCGTATTTCGAGTGAACCTACAGCCGTAAAAAAAATGATTGAAAAATATGCATTTTTGGGGTATTTTTTTGTCTCAACCCTTATCGGGAGGGTGCAAGGTTTTAATTTCAGGGGATTATTCTACAGGGTCATGGGAAACGATAAAAAATGATAACGGCTACTGGAGTATTGTCAGGTTCAGGAATTTTTTGACTGGACAACATTCGCCGATCATGATAATGTCCTTTGTGGTGGTCCAGAATCAGCCGTCACCTCTAGCATTATCATTGATGAACATAATTGCTCCTGCAGTAATCATACTTCAGGATTTTCTGCAGGATGGTTTCCATGATTTCCTCCAGTACATTTTCCAGGATTCTCTCCAGGATAATTTCCAGGATCTTCTCCAGGACATTTCCCAGGATTATCTCCAGGATAATTTCCAGGACATTTTCCAGGATTTTCTCCAGGACATTTCCCAGGATTATCTCCAGGATAATTTCCAGGATTTTCTCCAGGACATTTTCTAGGATATTTTCCAGGATTATCTCCAGGACAATTTCCAGGATTTTCTCCAAGATGTTCTGCAGGATAATTTTCATGATTTCCTCCAGGTCATTTTCCAGGATTTCCTCCAGGATAATTTCCAGAATTTTCTCCGGGACATTTTCCAGGATATTTTCAGGACATTTTCAAGGATAATTTCCATGATTTCCTGGGGATATTTTGCAGGATTTTTTCCAGTACATTCTCCAGGATTTCCTTGGAAAATGTCCGAGAGAATATTCTGGAAATTATTCTGGAGAGAATCCTGGAAATTATTCTGGAAAGAATCCTGCAAATTATCCTGTAGGAAATCCTGCAAAATGCCCTGAAGAAAATCCTGGAAATTATCCCGGAGGGAATCCTGCAAACCGTCCCGAAGGAAATCATGGAAATTATCCTGGAAAATGTCCTGAAGACAATACTGGAAAATGTCCTGGGGGAAATCCTGGAAAATCTGGAGAAAAACCTGGGAATGAACCTGGAGAAAATCCTTCAGATGATCCTGGGAAATATCCTGGAGAAAATCCTGGAGATTATCCTGGAGAAAATCCTGGAGATTATCCTGGAGGAAATTATCCTGGAGATAATCCTGGGAAATGTCCTGGAGAAAATCCTGGATAATGTCCTGGAGAAAATCCTGGAAGTTATCCTGGAGATAATCCTGAGAAATGTCCTGGAGAAGATCCTGGAAATTATCCTGGAGAGAATCCTGGAAAATGTACTGGAGGAAATCCTGGAAACTATCCTGCGGAAAATCCTGAAGTATGATTACTGCAGGAATAATTATGTTCATCAATGATTATCATGCTAGAGGTGACGGCTGATTCTGGACCACCACAAAGGACATTATCATGATCGGCGAATGTTGTCTCGTCAAAAAAGTCCTGAACCTGACAATACTCCAGAAGCCGTTCTCATTTCTTATCGTTTCCCATGACCCTGTAGAATAATCCCCTGAAATTATAACCTCGCACCCTCCCGATAAGGGTTGAGACAAAAAAATACCCCAAAAATGCATATTTTTCAATAATTTTTTCTTACGGCCGTAACTTCACTCGAAATACGATTAATCTTCCCGCAGCTTCAAGTAACTCAAATTCATCATCAATTACAGTTCCATCTACATTCATGGAAAATGTAGATGGCACTGTACGCATATGGTATTCCTTTTTAACCGACCCAAAGGTTGGTGACGGACGTGCATGCAGACGGTTCAGTTCACGGCATAAGCTCAGTGACAAATACCGCACACTGTTGCCACATATCCTTGCTCCGTCCCCACCTATGCTCGAGCGCCATAACCCGTCAACGCTATTGGCTACTTTCAATCTTTAATCATTTAAATTCAAGTCAACTGGGATTTTTTCAAATATTTTTCCGGGATTCCTCACATTTTTATCCATCTACCACTACGAGGTTTAAAAGTTGTTTTGAAACACCCTGTATAAGATTCCGAAAAATTCGCACACGCACATTGACATACACACATACTTTCTAAAAACATCATATCCTGATGTTTCATGACATTCTACATCATTTCCAAGCAAAATTAGAAAATCGTAAAAATCGACGATTACAAAAGCTTCCATTCGAAAGCAAAATTGGAAAAAAACATCATGCATTTTCTCCACTGCATCACAATGAAGTTATTTTTACCCCTCGAAAAAAGAAACAATTATTCTTCGACCATTGCATATCCGTTTCAATTAGATATCCCCTTTCGTGAGATATCATACCATTTTTCTCGAGTACAAATTATTCCATCTTTAGATTAATGGAGATGATTGAGCTCTCATAATTTTTTATCGAAACTTTGATCATCGTGAAAAGCTCTCTCATCTCCCCAATGGCAAATACCCGGGGAAGTAACATTCTCATTTCGATCAATAAATTATATTTCCCACCTTTCAGGTACTGTAACCGTCGCCATGGCAATTCTTGCTCGTCTCGGTGTCAATGTAGCTGCAAATATTGGCTTTCAGTACGCCGCTGAGATGCTACCCACCGTTGTCAGGGCTCAGGGTGTATCGCTTATCCACATTATTGGCTACTTCGCTCACATAATTGGACCCTACATCATTTACTTGGTAAGATGATTAAATAAACTGAACCTTTCTGAGCAATATACCTTGTAGATTAATAATTCAGACTGGAAGAACATGGGAGCAGACATCGCAGAATCATAGATTTTAAATAAAATTAAATTTTGCAGAAGTCGATAGCTAATACTACTCGTCAATTTTTAATCATTAAATTAATTACCAATTAAATATCCAAATTACGAGGTATTTTATCAATCAATAATTGAGTTCGGAGGGTTGACGATTATTTGGCTAATCGAAAATCCCTTTTAAGAAATTTAGAAATATTTGCCCAATAGTCAATTTACAATCCTATATTTTAATTATTTAATTCATAGTCAATTGAAAATTTAAATTATCAATTATTTCCTAATTGTCAAATTTCAATCCAAATATTACCAAAACTAATGATTGATGCCGGTCCCTACATGCGAGATTTTCTTGGTAATAATTTTCAATTTTAAGATGCTTAGAATAATAAACTTAATCGTTGTTGAAATCTGACTGGAGACTCTGGAAACTGTTACTAATGATATAATTTCATTATTTTATTCGTTTTCCTATCATTTTGATTGATGCCAACAGATCAAATACTTATAATAATTTGAAGCTTCTTAGAATACATGAATGAAGTTGATTATAGTTTTCTTCATCGGAAATTCCGCAGACTTTGAGATGGGTTTACCTTTCTGAATACAGAATTTTTTTATTGAATCAATTGAATACTACATAGAAATGGTACAATATCATCATGCATTTCCGATAATTCCGGGCATAGAGATGAAACTATTACCACTAGAAAGATTTTTGCATTCTTCTCTGAAAGCCGCGCGCCAAACTCCTTGAAATTACCTAGTGTATGATGAAAGAAATGTAAAAAGTAAAAGTGTGTTAACTCAAGAATGAGCAAATTTGAGGGAAAATGTAGAAACATTTTTCACGGACAATGAATGTTATTCATTCATTTGATTAATTCTGATAAAATTTTCTGTCGGTGATGCTCAGAGAAACTTATTTCTGATTCCAACATTATGATAATTATGATAACAAGCCCAATTGTTAATGAGATCTGGCACGAATCTGGAAGTGATTCCTAATAATATAACGACATTATAATACACTATAATATAATTTTTGTTTTTTCATCGAAAATTCCTCGGGTCATAGAATGAAGTCATTCTACTGAATATAAATTTTTTCAATTAAACAAATAAAATTTTGGATTGAATTTATATAATATTATTATACAATTATCTTAAGAATGAGTAATTATGATGAAAAATATCAGAAGATTCTTTACATAGACAATTAATATTATTCCCTGATTACATAATAATAATCTGATAAAATTTTTCATCGTTGATTTGAATTCTTTGCTTTTTTTTATGGATTCGATGAAAATGTGGGGATAGGAATTCAATTTATAGGTATTGGTTCATTATTCGAATAAATATATCAAGTTTAAAATTTTCCCTAGTCATTGAAAAATTAAAAATTCAGTTTTCGTGTTGATCTCATTTTTCTTCCTCTTTTTACTTTCTTTCATCAGAATTAGATAATAGACAGAAAATACATTGGTTTTTCTTCATTATTAAAAAAAAAATTCAGTAAAAATTCGCCAGCTCTCTTAGGTTCGGAGATATTTTTGATTATTTTTCCTAATCGGATTTCGATGAATCAGAGCGCAGTACAGTAGACTCCCGTTAGAGTCACACTCGTTCTAGTCGCATTTCCCCTCATATCGATTTTTCGGTCCGCGAGCACTCCCCCCTCTCCATTACCTACGAAAGCCTTTAAATGAATGCTCCTGTTTTTTCTGGAGTCATTTTTTTTGAATTCTCGGAAATTCGCAAAATGAAATATTGAAAATATGAATTTACGATGGGTAGATATTTAGTCTGCTCCTGATCGTCACGGAGAGAGGTTACACTTTTATTGTAGTAAAATAAGTTAAAATTTGATTAGTTAGTTGATCGAGTGAAAATTTAAATAAATTGAAAAATGGATCCACATGACAATAATTAATTATTAATAATAACTAATTAATTTTTATTTTTATTGGTCATTATAATATCATAATTGTTATAATAATTATTATTATATTTTCATTTTTTCATCAATAAAATAAAAAGAAAAATTCAGTAATTTTATTTTATCAATGTCGATTCTGAGAAATGATTCCGGATATTTCCTCTTAGCTTTTGAATATTTCGTAGTAGTTTTTCATTTTTTTACCTGAATATTTGGCAGTAGCTGTTCATTTTTTCGGCTCATTTCACTTAGAATCTTATATTTGACAGTCTATGGAAATCGGGTTATTCTGTTGACATCATTTGTTCAAATCTTCCCCAATTCACCTCCTGATGGTGTCCACTGCTTGGCCAAAATCCGATTGGGAAAAATAATTCGACAAATACCCCTCGAGATTCGAAATTAATCGGGTATTTCTCTCAACCTCCTCTGCAAACAAACCATCGTGCCCAGTTTTGCAGAAACATCTCTCGCGCAAGCGCTCGGGATTTATTAACCTGCAAATCTTGACACCCTCATTGGTTTGCAACGAAGCTATCGGAAAATACCCGATAATTTTGAAGCTCTTGGGGTATTACTACTGAAAAACTCAGCGACTCAATTTTTTTGGTTGTGCATTCTCAATGCAAAACCCTCTTCCCCTCCTCCTGCCACACCAAATTAGTTACCAAAATAGTTTTGGAGACGAGAAATTTCAGGGTTGTTTTTGAAAAACGGTAAAACGACTGGACCGATTTCGTCTAAAATTTGATACGTTCTAAGTTACATGAAGACGCTTCGATCGCGTCATTGTTCGCTTCGATCACATCATTAGTTTTCGAGTTTTCGAACGAAAAATTTGATCACATACATCTTTACACACACACACACATGTAACAGTTCTTTTGAATATGGAATTTTGTACTGAAGTGATTACATTCTACATTGAAATGGTGTAATATCATTATGTAATTATTTCGAGAAAGAGTCTTTTTAAAGGAAAAGGTCAAAATACTGTTTTTGCAATCAATCAGTAATATTCTTTTGTTTTGATAAGTCTGATTGAATGTTCTCAGGCCGACGTTCAAAAAGAGTTACCCCTGATCTCTCTGGGACTCGTAGCAATGGTCGTCGCATTTCTGACATTAACTCTACCAGAAACACTAGATCAAGACCTCCCTGAAACACTGCAGGAGGGTAACGACTTCGGGAGGGAACAAAACTTCTGGTGGATACCCTGCAGATCCTCGTAAGTTACAATAGTTAATGAAAAAAAGAAAACTTTTTATCCAATTTATCCCGAAGTTTCCCAGATTACCAACGATAATGTGGATAAGGAGATTAAAGGATCGTTTTTCTTGCAGCTCCCACGAAAGAAGGAAAAAGTATAGGAAGAAAATAGGCTCAGTCAACGCGGGATTCAACCCTGGGAGTCTCACGAAAATCGATTCAACGAGATTATAACAAATTCCACAGAAATCTAGTTCAATGACAAATTTATAACAAAATGAAGAACAATTTCCATTCGTGTCAGTGACAAAAAGCAACAAAACATTTTTAAAAAATGTTTAAAAACTGAAGAAATGATAAATTTAGCTAAATACAAAACGGAAGGAATTGCAAAAAGTCAATCTACAGTACAAATTGTAAATTAAACTAACGAATTTTATCAGTGACAAATTCAATTAAACGAATGAATTTTTCCGCAGTCAAACTTGAATTGACAAATAGCGCTAGCTCGCCATAAATTAACGATTGAATTACTGTAAATAGATTCTACCAGCGATATAAGAGTGAATTTATTGCAGAATTTATTCGAAGACAATGATAAATCGAGGAATTCTCGAAAGAATTATCGCTCGAAAGGTAGATAAACTCATTACTTTACACTCGCAACATTATTTTCTCTTCGTAATTCAGGTAGAATCATTCATGTACTTACGAACGTCAATCAAATTAGAAATATGATGAATCGAATAACGGAAATAGAAGGCAGAAGCGCTAATTTGATGAATGAGATAAAATCGTGGATTTCTGGATTATTTCGATCTTATATTGAAGCATCATTCTATCATTAATGTAATTAACGTTGTATAAACAATTTTATGACACTGTTCAGTATTTTAAATGATTTGTGGTGTACAACATGTTTTAAATTTCAATTACAGGTAACATGAAAGAAAATAAATTGTACGAAATATTGAATTTGAAGTAGTTTGAATATTCTAAATGGTAGGACCTAGCAGTTTGCATACTTTTTTCCTTCCTCACCCCCTCCACTATCGTAATAAGCCAATCAGATGTCAATACTGAGCGGGACCATTGAGAACCGTCATGAAAATGAACCAGGTACCTCTCTCAACTCAAAAATGAACACCGATAAGAAAATTATTAATAATATAATTTATTAAACAAAGTATTCACGTGTTCTATATTTATTAGAGTCCAGTATCACAATGAATTATGTCATAAACTACATTAATAATGACGACGATTGCAGTAGGACTAAAATTAAAATTAACGTAACAAAATATCATTTTTGTAATACCTGCCTCAAAAGTTCACTTTTCGAAACCGCTTAGTGTGTGTAAAGTGGTTGTTTTACGCACAATGTACGTAAAGTTCAGAGGTCGTGCCTAAAGTGAATTCACAAAGCACTCGAAATTCACTTTACGCACGACCTTGAACTTTACGCACGACCTTGAACTTTATGTACACCGTGCACAAAAGCAGCCACTTTACCCCCACTACGGTTCCGAACAGTGAACTCGGCAGTTATTACAAAAAATAGGATGTGTTACGCATGCGTGCGAAAAAGTGGTTCTTTACGCACTTGTAACACAATATACTATCAGGAATGCAGGAATGACCCATCCCCAGAGTAACTTTGATGAATTTGACAGGTTCACTCTTCAATCAATCGGAATTTTCAGTTGCAGAGAAATTCATTACTCATGTGTCTAGACAAACTAGCACAAACATAGGACGATAAAATCATTTATTAGTAAAAAGTTCTGCATATCTGAAGGAAATAGTTGAATAGCTTCAGAGTTTCTCGGATTCAGTGGAACATTTCTCATTATTCAATGCATCGACTTTAAATCGAATTTGAAATATCAGATGTGCGCATTAGGTTATGCGCATGTCTCAGAATCAGGCGATTAATTACAGAAGGGATAAAAGAGCGGTTCGTAATATGCGAACATCTAGAGCAAAAATATGCAAACAACTAGGTACTATGGATTTTGCCAGAATGCGAACTGCTAAATTTTATTGTACCTAAAAAAATATGACGAAACAAAGGGTGGATACGGATTAATAACTGAGAATCATAATTGTCATTTTTTATTTATGTAACTCTTTTGACCGCAATGTGTAAAATTTCACTTTAAAAAATCGTTTTCTTGAAAAATGGTTGAAAACTAAGGCTAATATTGTCCTAAACGAAACTCTCAGTCTATTTTATAAACCCTGAATAAATTTTCCGAAAACTTAGATATCTTTAATACAGTTCACAGTCTCCTATTTAATTAGAATTCAGTAATGAATCCAATTACTAGAATGAAGGGAGACAATGGTATATTACACAACAAGTGAGGTAAGTCGGATTTTACACGCGCGTGCGGCTTCGCCGCTANAGAAGATATGTTTAGTGAATACGATGAAATACTAACAGATAATATACTTCGAAACGCTCAGGAAGCAGAGAAATGCTATCAAGAAAAAGCCAACTTTGAAAGAAAAAAGAAAATGAGTATTTTTTCTAAATATTAGAGAATAATTTTTTTTGCGCGATTTTTCTCCACCCCCCCTCCCCCCCACCCTGAAGAAAATATGAGGAAAGTTTGTTGATTTTTCAGTATTTTTTTATTAGTATGAAGAATTAATAAACAATCTCAACAATATAAAAAATCAAAAAGTATCTCATCACCACCCCACAACCGTCACAAACTGCAAACTCAACAATGATCAAAATAAAAGAACTAATGAAGACTCATCAACTTCAACAAATTCCAATATCAACAACAAAGAGAACTTGGATGTAATGAACCCCCTCAAAAATCCCCTGTCAAATGTATCTCTTACTTTTAATAATTGTTCAAATATTTCAATCTATCTGACAAAAAAAGATGAGTAATGATAATAATAATAATAATAATAATAATTTATGTTTTAATTATTAATTCTTCATACTAATAAAAAAATAATGGAAAATCAACAAACTTTGCTCATATTTTCTTCNAGAAAAATGGCGCAAAAAAAATTATTCTCTAATATGTAGAAAAAATACTCATTTTCTTTTTTCTTTCAAAGTTGGCTTTTTCTTGATAGCATTTCGCTGCTTCCTGAGCGTTTCGAAGTATATTATCTGGTAGTATTTCATCGTGTTCACTAAACATATCTTCTTGTGTATTCATATTTCACTTTTTGAGTTAATTATTTATTATTATGTAGTTTATTTTTTAGCTTTTTGCACTGCGATTTGTTTCGTTAAATAGTGTCTAATGGATCAGCTGATCGGTGTATGGTTGGGATAATGGGTCATGTTTATACCGCAAGATGTCGCTAGAGGTTATTGAGAACGTGTAAAATACCAGTAAAATAGCATAGGACGCGTGTAAAACTGGGAACGTCTGTTAAGTGAAGAACGATTGGTGGTGCGTGTAAAATTCGACTTACCGACCTCCAAATGCCCCTGTTAACCTGCACTTTACACGCACGCATGACATAAAGATGTTTGGTGAGTGCTGACGGTATTTGACACCAGTACCATTAAATTCTGTCACAAAGTGACGGTTCAAATGTCCGAAATAAAGAGAAAAACATCTTTGGAACAAATTATTCTTCAGTAACATAAAGCCCTATTTTGAGACTTATGATATCAAATTGAAACTTTGAAAGTTTTAAATAGCGATTTTCAAATGTTTTAAATTGAGCTTTTCAAGTCTCTAGTGGAAACTTTTAGAAGTACACCTAAAGCAAAATTTCAAGTGAGTTCCAACAGTTTCAATTTGAAGCATTCAAAAGTATCAGCCTGAGTCTATAAAAGTTTGAAATTGAGATCTTCGTAAGTCTCAACTTTAGAGTTTCAAAATCTCAAATTAAACTTTCCAAAACTCTCAACTTGAAAATCTCAAGCTTCAAATTGAGACTGTTGTAAGTCATCTTTCGAGACCTTTAAAATCTTTAAAAAAATGTATTATTTTTTGGACGTTGTTAAATTTTAATTATTGAGCTAAGGAATGAGATCATGGACTTCGAGTATCATTATTGTTATTGGAATATTGGTCGTCGCGAGGTTTTCTGCAGCATGGAAGGGACCAGAATTTGTCGTGCTTGCCGAACTCTTCGCCTTCTTGTAGGGTTTGCGGTAGATGTCGTCCTTGAGTTTCCGGGAGGAAGAGAACTAACACGGCAGTGACCAAGGCTGTGACCCCAACTAACATCATGGGAAATCCATCCCATATTGCAGCCTGAAACGTTTTTTTATTATCCACAAAATGTCATGTATTATTGTTCTTACTTTTGAATGAATGATGATGAATTTCTTACAAGGTCAACGATATACGGTGAAACTGTATGGCCCATGATACCAAATATGTGGACCAAGGCTACCCCCTGAGCTCTCACTGGAGTGGGTAGTAGTTCAGCTGCGTATTGAAGAGCTATATTGGCTGCCATATTTGCTGAAAATCTGGCCAACACCGAGGAAGCTAGTTTGCCGTTAGCTAAACAAGACCAAAAGCGTGTTTCAATTAACCTTTAGAAGTAATCTCATTTTAACCCACTTTACTCTATTCAGATAACAACCCTCAAGATAAGGACCCCATCCGAAGCGAAAACAACACATTCTAATTATTTCTGTATGGTTATGGATATCAGCTGTATGGTTCTTGTATAAGTAATACAGGAAAATTTAGCTTAGTCTTGAGAGCTTCTGATGTGTCTATGACTCTCAATGCCCACGATTTTTGCGAAAAATGTTATTTGGTGAAGTAAATGATACTGTTCATTTTCTATGTGTATATCCAGCTCTCGACCATATCCGGTGATCACTCTTCAACTCAGAGTTTACTCCTATGGCTTTCTGCCTTGATTTATTATCTAGTACATCTGATCTAAAAAATGTTCTAAAATTTATTCAACTAGCGGCCGACCCTTACTAGCACTCAGCAGCAACGTTTTCATGTAGCCTACACTCATCTGGCTATTCACAAATTTTTCACAATCTTAAATTTTCTATGTATGTATCGATTATGTCATTCGAGCCTCTATTTTCTAAGGATTCCAGTCCACAGTTATATTGTTATTTTTATTATTTTATAATGAATAACACAAGAAAATTTTGACGGCAAAAGTACCGAACTCTTCCATGATGCACGGGATATTTTATTATAGTGAATAAAAAACCAATAGAAATTGATGAGAACTTATAAAGTATAAATATTGAGGTTGTACCAGGTTTTGTCGTGATCGAATGGATTTATTTCAATCATTCATTTCGATGACTCCTAAAGAAAACTACGTAACTCAGAAAACATATCTAAAATCGTATCTCAAGATTTCGTTTTAAGGCCCGGATGGAGATTTCAGGTTCAGGTCGACTATTTTGTCGTTGGGACGGAAGACAGATAATCTTTTCAAATAGGGTCGCCGTACATGGTGAGGGCGCTCAAATCTGCAAAGACTATCTCCTTCCCGGCACGAGGACAAAACAGCTGACCGCCAGCTCGTTCTGACTTGCATATTTCGGCAATTCTCATCAGATCATAACGAAAGTGCAATTAAAAAATAGAATAATAATGTAGAATTTTAGTTTTGAGGCTTTCGCGGCCATGATTAATGACATCTTTGGCTTCCGGATGGATGCCGCGTTTGGATTCAGCGTTATGCGCCGACGTTTCGCAGACATTGCAGTCTGCTTCTTCAGGGCTATGAGCTCCGTTTCTCCGAGGAATTAAAATGAAAATGATAAAGGCATCGAGCGAATTAGACGGTATTTAATCGGAGTTAGTGAGTTACGTATTTTTGAATTTTCTTGGAGATACTTAGTTTCTGTCATCTCCTCCGAGATACCAAGTTTCAATGAATATTCGTGAGATACTTGAGTGCGGAAATGTTTTTTGAGTTATACGTAGTCTCCTTTGGGAGCCATCGTAGTAATTCTAAAGTAATGTTTTCTCAATTTAGACCTGAACATTCCCATCCCTTTATTTCGCAGACCCGATTGGTTGATAAGACCTAAAAAATTGGTAAAATTTTCACCGAAACGTTTGGCGGAAGTGACATGCATTGAATTCCTTTTTGTTGAAAGTCTCAATGTTGAAATGATTGTCTTAAATTTGCTTATGATTAAATATTCATGTGTTATGCAATCAAATAATCTTGAGAAATATTCCCCATGAACTAATCTGAAAGTCTAATTATCTCACCCCAATTTACTAATGCACTACTAAATTAATTTCGTCGTATTGTTAAATTGACGTACTTGATGGTAGATATAATTCAGCAAAGCTGCATGCGCTGATTCCTGCGACAGTGAGGAATCCACAAAATCTCCTGCCCCAGCGGTCGAGAATGAGGGTAACTAGGAGACCCGCTGGTAATTCGGTAGCTGAGGCGAGGGAGAATGAGACAAATACCGAACTCTGCAGGAGTTTCAAAGAGTACACGTGGCCATCGAAGCAAATTATCGTAAGGGTCCTATGAAATCACGACAAATTATTCAATTCATGGAGTGCTTCATGGGATGAAAGAAATTTGGATCAATTCAAGGCAGAGATCGGCAAGAACATAATTTCCATTATTAATATTTCATTACCTTATCAATGGTTACTGAAAAAAAATTGAATTATTATTTTTTTCGTAATGAATAATAATACCAAATGTATTTTTGATCGCGATACTAATGAGAAATGAAAATGAAATAGAATTTATTTTCATTATTATATCAATGGAAAATGAAAAGCTGAAAATCCCGATTTCTTTCGTCATAAATAGGGGAAACTAATTTATTTTTCATTATCGCTTAATTATCATAGTAACTATATCCTTTGACGTCACAAGATGTGAAATACTGTATAAACTCTCTTTTTCAATGGAAAATGATGACCGTTTGACGAACCTAACTGCCTAATTGATGATTTTTTGTTTATTGACCAGTTTAACTCGCAGCCTTAGTTTAGCTCCTCCTGTGTAGCTTTTCGGTCAACATTACCCATTAACAGAATCATGAAAATATTTCAATTTTCATTATTGATTACACAAGTATTAGAAAATATTTTTGAGTTGATTATTGATTGAATGACTATTCTAATATGGTCTAGTGTAATTCCATGATAAGATAAATAATAGTTTTTTATTATTAATTATTACTCATCGAGACGGTACTTCAAAAATATGAATTTCTTAAGACCCATTCATAACATAATGAAAAATGTTTACACGTTATTAGTGATAAGCGAAAAATATGCATTTGCGGGGCAAATATTGGTGAAAATAATATTTGTGCCGATCTCTGATTCAAGGGTTCTTGAGATTTTTAGTAGAAGGTCTCATTAAAAAGAAATGAACAACTAATGAAAAATGATAACAACACATAATACACTGATAGAAATGGAGGAACGATTCAGTTGAACCAAACGAGGCTTCTTAACTGTTACCGCGATTCGTTAATAGTTAACGAATCGTGGTAATAGTTAAAAAGTCTCGTTTGGTTCGACTAAACCGTTCTATCAGTGTACACATAACAATTGAAATAAACAAAACGAAATTCAATTTGATACAATTGACTAGGAGAGTAATAATTCCAAAAATTATGTCGATAAAAGATTTCAAACTAATTGCAGATCTTAGATCTTAACTTTTTACTCTGTTTTTGAACACAAATTATCTTCAATTTAAGTAAGAACGAATTACTGTGAACGAGGTGTACCCCTACCGACGTCGGTGGCCGAGTGGATTAGACGCAAGTCTAGTGTGCGAAAGGTTGTGAGTTCGATTCCCCGTGGAACCGAATTTTTCAACGGAAGGCTCCGGCGAGCGGGAGGTTGCTAATAGAGGAACCGCCTGTACCGGCATGGGTTTTCTGTGGTTTCCCCATGCTACTTCTATGTTCTATAGAAGTGCGAATGCGGTACAGTGTAGAATCCACAGCCGCATGCATAGGGTTGGATAGAGTGCCGAACGGGACCCGAAAAAGGGGGGACTCCAAGGCCGTAAAAAAAAAAAAAAAACAAGTGTGCCCTTAGGGAATTTCACGCACGAAAAAATTTAATAGAAGAACCTATCGAATTCGTTAGAAAATTCTATTGTATTTCTATTAAGCTTTCTATTAGTTTTTGGCCGATTCTATTGACATGTTCAATAGAAAATATTCAATAGAAAAAATCAACAGAATTCGGTTTTTCTATATAACTTATCCTTTTCATATATTTTCTATAGAATTTGCTCGACTCAAATTTTTCAAGTTTTTTTCATTGTATTTTTCTTTTCTTCTCATCATGAAAATCAAACGAAAAAACTTGGAAAATTTGAGCCGAGGAAATTCTATAGAAAATGTCTCAATAGAATAAGTTATATAGAAAAATTGAATTCTATTGACTTTTTCTACTGAATGTTTTCTATTGGACATTTCAATAGAATCGGCCAAAA